CCAAAGTACTAAGATTATAGGTGTGAGCCATGGTGCCCAGCCATTTCTGTCTCTTATAAAGACACCTCTCATTGGATTTGGGGCCCATCCCAGTGCAGCATGATATCAACTCAAGATCCTCACCTTAATTACATCTTCAAAGACCTTTCTTTCAAATAAAGTCACATTCTGAGGTTCCAGGTGAACATACCTCACCCACTACAGCGAGAGACACTTGTGAGCCCTTTAACTGAGAATTCTGGTCTCAGAAGTTTAGCATCCACCCCAATCACCACCACACAACCAGGAAAGGGCTGTTTTCTCCAGAAGCTCTTGGACTCTGGTAAACAGAATTCTGAGATGACCCCCAATTCTCAGTGACCTCCAATGACCCACATCTTTGTATAATCTTCTGATGAATGTGAGTGGGGACCATAACTTGCTTCTAACCAGTAGAATATGGCAAAGGTGATGGGATGCTATTCCTGGACTATGATACATGACAGAGAGGAAGGGACTTTGAAGATGTAATTAAGGTCCCTAATCAGTTGACTTTAAGCAAATAAAGAGGGAGATTGTGCTGAGTGGGCCTGATTTAAGAAGGTGAGTTTTTTATTTAAAAGAGGGTCTAGGGCTCAGAAACAGGAGTCAGAAATATACTCCTGCTGGCCTAGAGGAAATGAGCCACTGTGAATTCTACAACTATAAGAAAATGAATTCTGGCTGGGCGCAGTAGCCCACGCCTGTAATCCCAGAACTTTGTGAGGGCAAGGTGGGTGAGTCACTTGAGATCAGGAGTTCAAGACCAGCCTGGCCAACATGATGAAACTCCATGTCTACTAAAAATACAAAAAAACTGTCTGGGTGTGGTGGCAGGTCCCTGTAATCCCAGCTACGTGGGAGGCTGAGGTAGGAGAATCGCTTGAATTTGGGAGGCGGGGGTTGCAGTGAGCTGAGATCATGCCACTGTACTCCAGCCTGGGTGATTGTTTAAAAAAAACAAAAAACAAAAAACGATATTGCCAACAACCACAGGAGCTAGGAGGAGGACACTGAGCCTCAGGTGAGACCATACCCCTAATCAACATCTTGATTGCAGCCTGGGAGACCCTGAGCAGAAGATCCAGCTAACCCATACCTGAACTTTGGACACATGGGAACTGTGAGAAAATAAATTGTTGGCCGGGAGCAGTGGCTCACGCCTGTAATCCCAGGACTTTGGGAGGCCAAGGTGGGCGGATCACTAGGTCAAAAGATCAAGACCATCCTGGTCAACATGGTGAAACCCTATGTCTACTAAAAATACAAAAATTAGCCGTGTGTGGTGGTGCATGCCTGTAGTCCCAGCTACCCGGGAGCTTGAGGCAGGAGAATTGCTTGAACCCAGGAGGCGGAGGCTGCAGTGAGCCAATATTGCACCACTGCACTCCAGCCTGGCAACAGAGTGAGACTCCATCTCAAAAAAAAAAGAAAGAAAGAAAATAAATGTGTTCTTCTAAGCTGCTGAGTTTGTGGTAATTTGTCACACACAGCAGAAAATGAACACACACTATACTACACGATTCTGCCTGAGGCTGCTCTTTCTAGCAGTCCTTCTCTCACAGTGCTTTTTTCTCCCCCTTTCTTTTTTTGACAGACTCTTGCTCTGTTGCCCAGGCTGGAGTGCAGTGGTGCAATCACAGTGCATTGAAGCCTCGACCTCCCAGGCTCAAGTGATCTTCCCACCTCAGCCTCTCAAATAGCTGGGACTACAGCACACACCACCACTCCTGGCTGATTTTTTTGTAATTTTTGTAGAGATGGGGTCTGACTATGTTGCCCACGCTGGTCTCAAATTCCTGGGCTCAAGCAATCCTTTTGCCTCAGCCTCCCAAAGCACTGGGATTATAAACATTAGCCACCGCTCATGGCCAGGCAGTGTTTTCAAAGGTGCCCCTTCAACTGAAGACACGCTGGGATGACAAGCTCAGGAAGATCCCCTTGCAATGATCTGCAGCTCTCTTTGAAGCCCTCCTCTTAGTCAGTTTCACGTTGCTCTAAAACCATACCTGAGGCTGGGCAATTTATAAAGAAAAGAGGCTAATATAACTCACATTTCTGCAGGCTGAGAAGTTTAAGGGCATGGCCCTGGCTACTGGTGAAGAGCTTTTGTGCCGTGTCACATGACAGAGAAGATCAAAGGAGTGGATATGCAGGAAGAGGGGAAAACCTGAGGGGAATCCTGGCTTTATAACATCCCACTCTGTCGGGAACTCACCCACTCCTGCAAGAACTAATTCAGTCTCATGAGAGTCAGAATTCACTCACTCCTGTCAACAACAGCACCAAGCCATTCATGAGGAATCCACCCCATGACCCAAACACCTCCCACAAGGTGCCCCCTCCCAATGCTGCCATATTGGGGATCAAATTTTAACTTGAGTTTGGGTGAGAACAAACAATATTAAAACCCTGGCAGGCTTATCTGGGACTCCTGCTTCCATGTCCCAGGAACAGGATCTCTGCATGCCCCTCGTTTGCTCCTGAGGGAACAACCAGTGATCCCAAGATTCCATGGTCCATATACACCTTTTAAGTAATTTAAGGCCAGGTGCAGTGGTGTACGGCAGTAATCCTAGTGTTCTGGGAGACTGAGATGGGAGGATTGCTTGAGACCAGGAGTTTGAGACCAGCCTGGGCAACATACTGAGACCAAGTCTCTACAACAAATAGAAAAATTAGGCAGGCATGGTGGTGTGTGCCTTTAGTGGAAGCTTCTGGGGAGGCTGAGGTGGGAGGATTATTTGAGCCTGGGAGGTCAAGCCTGCAGTGAGCTGTGATAAAGACACAGCACTCCAGCCTGGGTGACAGAGCAAGGCCCTGTCTAAAAAAAAGAAAGAAAGAAAAGAATAGAAAGAAAAAGAAAGTAAGAAATTGAGGAGCTAGAGGTTCAGAACTCATTCATCACAATTTCATTTCTGAGCTGCCAGTGAGGAGCCACACCATGGTTCCCAAAATCTCTTGATCAGGAAACGAGATGAAACATGGCTGTGGATATTCCCAGAAGGGAGTGGGGACAGGCCACTTCTTCCCAGAGGAGAGGAATGGGAATGGGAGAGCTCTGCTCCAGTCGGCGCCAGTCTCTAGTTTCTCTTCCAATCATGGGTCACGTGGCCAAGCCTGTCCTTCTGGGGCCTCCCCTTGGGCCTGAGTCTGAATCCAATTGACGCTGGAAGACTCTCCCAGAGCGACAAGGAGAGGTACAGGAGGAATAAGATAGTTGCTTTTTTAGTGGAGAAATTCCTACCATTTTTTTTTTTTTTTTGAGAGAGCGTCTCACTCTGTTATCCAGGCTGGAGTATAGTGATGCAATCTCAGCTCACTGCAACCTCTGCCTCCGGGTTCAAGTGATTCTCCGGCTTCAGCCTCCTGAGTACCTGGGATTACAGGTGCCCACCATCATGCCCAGCTAATTTTTGTATTTTTAGTAGAGATGGGGTTTCACCATGTTGGCCAGGCTGGTCTCGACCTCAGGTGATCCACCCGCCTTGGCCTCCCAAAGTGCTGGGATCACAGGCGTGAGCCACCATGCCTGGCCTAATTTTTGTATTTTGCTAGAGACAGGAAGTGCCTGTAATCCTAGCAGATGGGGTTGCTGAGGTGGGAGGATGGCTTAAGGCCAGGAGTTTGAGACCAGCCTGGGCAACACAGCAAGATCCTACCTCTGCAAAAAATTTAAAAAAAATAAGGGCTGCAGAGAATTCTATTGTATGGATATCATTATTAATTTAAACATTCCTTCAGTAATTGGCATTTGGTTTATTTGCAAACAAAACTGACATGTAGATTCCTTAAGTGTGCATCATTTAACACATGTGCTGCATCCATGCCCCCTTTTTTTTCAAAATGGAGTTTTGCTCTTATTGCCCAGGCTGGAGTGCAATGGCTCAATCTCGGCTCACTGTAACCTCCACTTTCCTGGTTCAAGCAGTTCTCCTGACTCAGCCTCCTGAGTAGCTGGGTCTACAGGTGCGTGTCACCACACCTGGATAATTTTTCTGTTTTTTGTAGAGATGGGATTTAACCATGTAGGTCAGGCTGGTCTCGAAGTCCTGACCTCGTGAACCGCCTGTATCGGCCTCCCAAAGTGCTGGGATTACAGGTGTGAGCCACCTCGCCCAGCCATTCTTTTTTTTTTTTTTTTTAAGACAGGATCTCACTCTGTCAGCCAGGCTGGAGTGCAGTGCTATGATCATAGTTCAAAGCAGCACCACCACGCCCAGCTAATTTGTAAATTTTTTGTGGAGATGGGAGGGTTCTCTCTGTTGCTCAGGCTGGTCTTGAACTCCTGGCCTTAAGTGATCCTCCTGTCTCAGTCTCCCAAAGCGCTAGGATTCCAGCTGTGAGGCACTATGCCCGGCTGGGGCTGACCCTCTGTATGCCTAAATCAGGCAATCATTGGCCACCCCTGTTGGTGGGGGTGTTTCTAGGCTAGCTGACTCCTGCCAGACAAGTGCAATTCTCCAGAGAACACAGGCATCTAAGCCCTGACCACCATCGAATCACCAGCTGGGACCGGCACATTGGTGGTGAAGGTCCTCTGGGTGAGACACCAACAGTGTTTGCAACAATCATTTAAAGAGTTATTTAATATCAGGCTGGGTGCAGTGGCTCACACCTGTAATCCTAACATTTTGGGAGGCTGAGGCAGGGGGATCATTTGAGGTCAGGAGTTCAAGACCAGCCTGGCCAACATGTCGAAACTCTGTACTAAAAATGCAAACAACGAAAAAAAAAAAAATTAAGCTGGGCGTTGTGACAGGTGCCTGTAATCCCAGCTACTCGGGAGGCTAAGGCAGGAGAATCTCTGAAACCTGGGAGGTGGAGGTTGCAGTGAGCCGAGATCATGCCACTGCACTCCAGCCTGGGGAATGAGAGGGAGACTCTGTTTCAAAGAAAAAAAAGAGTTGTTAAACATCAAAAAGAAAAGAAAGCAACATGCAGACTGACTCTATAGAGGCTGACTCTTTTCTCCTCTTAGTCTCTGCTCTCTACACTCACTAGTCGGCCATCACTGAAACTTAATAAATGGCCAGGTGTGGTGGCTCACACCTGTAATCCCAGAACTTTGGGAGGCCAGGAGTTCGAGGTCAGCAACACCCCAAGACTCTTAAAAACAAACAAACAAACAAACAAATGTATATAGAAGTCTTGGTTCTAGATAACTGAGAGAAATGGAAGTGGCTTAGTGAGTTGCTGATCATATTACTTCTAATAATAGAATTCTTTATTAAAACAACTATGGAAGAAAACAGTGCTTTCTTTCTATTCTTTTAAAAATCTGGAGCACTTTGCAAAATGGAAATTAATGCCTTGACTTGCATTCCTATGTGATCTGGGATTTTCACTTCTGCAGGGAAAGCCCCACTTGGCTTATTGGCTGCCTGCCTTGCCCTATGTCTTTTTTTTTTTTTTTTTTTTTTGGTTTGTTTCAATTTGTATAAATGTGTGGAGTACAGATATAATTTTATTAGATGCATACATCGTATAGTGCTGACGTCAGGGCTTTTAGGGTAATCATAATCCCAATAATGTACATTGTATCTGTTAAGTAATCTCCCATTATCTTTGCCCTGTCTTCTAAGCAGCTGGCTTGTTATTTTGGATTGAGCCACTTGGGGCTAGAGAAGAGAAGGCAGGGAGTGAGGGAAAGGTGCTTGGGAATTCCAGGAGATTGTTATCCTGCCCTGGCTGCTCTCTCAGGGGATTCTCCTCAAGTACCCTGGAATGTTCCCGTGGCCCCTGTGGATCGCCACCACGAAGATCATGAGGTTCTGTTGCCCTGGCAACCAGTTGTCCAGCGCCTCTGCACTGGAGCTGCCAAGGTGCCAGGAAGAGGCAGGATTGCCCGGTCTTGGAGGAAGACTTCTGGGTAGAAGCGGCACACAGGAGCAGAGACACAGTCTTGGCTCCAATTTCATCTCAGTTATGCCCACCCTTTCCGTGTTCATGGATGTGCCCTTCGTCCACAAGCTAGAGGGCAACTTGTTAAAGGCCTACAAACAAGATGATTACCCCAACAAGATGTTCCTAGCCTATAAAGGTAGATGCCTAGCAGTTCTGGAGTATAAGACTTAAGGGATGGGAACTGCCTCTAGGAGGACAGTGGTCCCTGCTGCAGTGGGAGGGGTGTGGCCCAAGCTTCCGTGGGAGGAACGGTCTTTCCTTGTTAACAGAATTGCCCAGTGGGGAAAAGCGAAGAGAAGGTCCCACGTCGTTCCATGCTCTCTGCCCTTCTCTGGGAGCTTCTAGCGGTTTGGCGAGAGCTATATCCTCTTCCACAGCTCAATGCTTGGGGGACTGCATGGCCATCCCACACTTCTTCAGCCTCTTCTCTCTCTCTCTTTCTATTCTTGAACCAAGAATGGTTCCCCAAATTGAGCCTTATGATACGCAACTGGGTCTCCCCACTGTGAAAGTCAGGGTTACCTTTATTTAGCTTTCATCTATCTATAACTCATTTTGCATTGATTTTTTTTTTTTTTTTGGAGATGGGACCTCACTCTGTTGCCAAGCTAGAGCACGGTGGCAAGATCTCAGCTCACTGCCACCTTTGCCTCCTGACCTCAAACCATCCTCCTGCCTCAGCCTCTTGCCCAGCTGGGATGACAGGCACTGGCCACCAGGTCTGGCTGTTCTGTGTTTTTTTGTAGAGGCAGGGTTTTATCATGTTGGCAAGGCCAGTCTCGAACTCCTGAACTCAAGTGATCTGCCCACCTTGGCCTCCCAAAGTGCTGGGATTACGGGCCTGAGCCACCCATCCTGGGCTTGTATAATTTTTAACCTTTAAAATGGCATAGGTTTCAGTTGTCATTTTAAAAAAGACAAAAATAATACACATTTACTAACAGCATATTGTTTTTATCAAGGAGAAAACAAAAGGGAAAGTTTTCTTTTCACAAAGACCTTCCCAATGCCCCAGGGAGTCCAGGGCAGACTTGTTTGCGGGCTGTCTGCAGAGCTCAGCCCCCGGGTCCCAAACCAAGCACCTGATGCTCCCTCTGTGGTCTTCCTCACAGTCTGCATGACAAATGAAGGCCATCCCTGGGTTTCTTTCGTGGTGCAGAAGGCCCGACTCCAGATTTCACAGGATCCCTCCCTGAATTATGAGTACTTGCCCACAGTGGGCATGAAGTCATTCATCCAGGCCTCTCTGGAGCTCCTCTTTGGAAAGCACAGCCAAGCCATCATGGAGAACAGGGTGAGAAGCGGGCCCTCCCCGACTCATCCTGACACAGAGAGTGGGGAACTGGGCCTGCACAACCTCAAACCCAAAAGGGACCTTGGAGGACCCCCAGTATGGATAAGGGGGACACCTGAGGCACAGAGAGTCCACAGCTTTAGCTGTCAAAGGGTAGAGTAAGGATCGGAATCCCAATCCAGTTGTATTCCCACCTGCTCATACTGCTGATTTGGAAGCTCTTTCAAGAGAGAAATGATCTGAATAGGAGGCGATGTCAGTATTCCCATTACTGTCTTATTTTTTAATTTATTATATACATTTTTTGAGACTAAGTCTCACTCCATCATCCAGGCTAGAGTGCAGTAGTATGATCTTGACTCACTGCAACCTCCACTCCGCAGGTTCAAGTGATTCTCATGCTGCAGCCCCCTGAGTAGCTGGAGTCACAGGCATGCGCCACCACGCCTGGCTAATTTTTGTGTTTTTGTTAGAGACAGGGTTTCACCATGTTGGCCAGGCTGCTCTCAAACTCCTGGCCTCAGAGGATCTGCCTGCCTCAGCCTCCCAAAGTGCTGGGATTACAGGCATGAGCCACCACGCCCAGCCTCCCTTACTGTTTTAGAGAGTTATTTCTGTTTATTTCTATTTATTTATTTATTTTGAGACAGAGTCTCACTCTGTGGCCCAGGCTGGAGTGTAGTGGCCTGATCTCGGCCCACTGCAGCCTCCACCTCCCGGGTTCAAGTGATTCTCTTGCCTCAGCCTCTTGAGTAGCTGGGATTACAGGCGCCTGTCACCACATCCAGCTAATTTTTTTTATTTTTAGTAATGACAGGGACCAGACTGATCTCGAACTCCTGACCTCAGGTGATCCACCCTCTTCGGCCTCCCAAAGTGCTGGGACTACAGGTGTGAGCCACCACGCCCACTGCACCCGGCCTATTTCTGTCTATTTCTTGCTGGCAGGTAGGGGGTGTACACACCGTTGGTGACAGTGGTGCCTTCCAGCTTGGGGTCCAGTTTCTCAGAGCTTGGCATAAGGATGCTCGAATAGTTTACATCATCTCTTCTCAAAAAGGTGAGTCTTACCTAAGATGAGGGCGACAGCAAATCCCCATTCCCTGTTCTGAATCCTCACCCAATTGCTGTCTGCACCGTTATCCCCCATTCTCTGTCACGAGCAAAATGGTGGACAAGCCAAGCTATTTATGTCCTTTTCCTGTTAATGTCCCACCTTCAGCCAGTGACTCTCAGCCCCACACTCCAGTACCTCTGTTTCCGTCTGTTTCCCATGTACCAGCTGTGTTCCCACAGAGCTGGTACATGGGAAACTGTGTTCCCACAGAACTGCATGGACTCGTCTTCCAGGACATGGGCTTTACAGTTTATGAATACTCCATCTGGGACCCCAAGAAGCTATGCATGGACCCCGACATACTCCTCAATGTGGTGGAGGTAGAGAAACTCCTCCCCAGATCTGACTTACAGCCTAAGGTTCCTCTCCTCCCCATGCCCCTTAAATCATCCAAGCCCTTTTCCAGGTTTGAATTTGCCTGGCCCTTCAATGGTAACTAACATGGAAGAGCACTTTATCCCCAAATGCCCTGGGGCTGCCACTCCTGGGTAGGGGAAGTACCTGATGAGACCGTCTCTACCTACAGCAGATCCCACGTGGCTGCGTCCTTGTGATCGGGAACATTATCGACTGCAAGTTGACACCAAGTGAGTGGGCGAAGTTGATGTCCATGATAAAGGTAAACCCAATCTCCCGCCTGACCTTCCTGTCTTTTAATCTCTGCTCTCTCCTCCATCCGACTCATTCTTTCTTTCTTCTCCTTTCTCCTACAGAGCAAGCAGATATTCCCATTTTTTGATATTCCCTGTCAAGGTTTATACACCAGTGACTTGGAAGAAGATACAAGAATCTTACAATACTTTGTGTCTCAAGGCGTTGAGTTCTTCTGCAGCCAGTCTCTGTCCAAGAATTTTGGCATTTATGGTATGGTACAGGCAGAAGGAGAGGGGAGGGTCTGTTGTGAAATGGCGCTGTGTTCACAGCACAGTGATGTTTTCCATAGCTCATCCTCTGGAGGGAGCCACAGACTCCAGGGAGGGCACGTACGGAGGCAGAAGTGGGGAGCACTGAGCTAGAATTTGGTTGTTACTACATCTGGTCACTTGTCCCAGCTCAGCTTAGATAATTTCACCCTCAGGACTTTGTTTCCTCAACTATGAGATGAGAGGGTGGGGCTGGCATCGTGGTTGACACCTGTAATCCCAGTCCACGCCTCCCGGTCCCTCCTTTGGGAGGTCGAGATTGGGTGGTCACTTGAGGCTGGGAATTTAAGACCAGCCTGGGCAACACAGTGAGACCCTGTCTCTACAAACAATTAAAAAAATTAGCCGGGCATGGTGGTACACACCGGTAGTCCTAGCTACCCGGGAGGCTGAGGCAAGAGGTTCACTTAAGCCCAGGAGGTTGAGGTTGCAGTGAGCTATGATTCCACCATTGCACTCTAGCCTGGGCAACGGAGAGAGACGGTCACTTAGAAAACAACAACAGCAACAAAAATAAAAATAAAGATAATAGAACTTAGCGATCTTGCAAGTTCTGTCCTCCTTTAAGACTCTGACTTACGGATACTTTTGCTGGAAGGAGAGCCTCTGGTAACTTCCAGGAGCCTGAATACTGTCCTGGCTGGGCTGCAATGAGGGTCTCATGGTTCAACCTTTTCTTCTACGAGGTTAGAGGTTGAGGTCTAGGTGGAGGCCTTGGGAGTGGAGGAAGGGGCTGAGGCTGTCTTCTCAACGCTGCAGATGAAGGAGTGGGGATCCTAGTGGTGGTGGCCGTCAACAACCAGCAGCTGCTGTGCGTCCTCTCCCAGCTGATGAGATTAGCCCAGGCCCTGTGGCTAAACCCTCCCAACACGGGTGCACGGATCATCACCTCCGTCCTCTGCAACCCGGCTCTGCTGGGAGACTGGTAAGGGTGAGGGCTGGAGCAGGAAGGGATGAGAGAGGCCCTGGGTGCCTGCAGACGTGCTGATCCCCGGATTCAGCAGGGTGCTTCTCTCTTGCCCATGTGGCCTCTTTGCTCCATCCATTAATCAGCATTGACTGAGGACCTGATGTGTACCAATGGCAGTGGCTATGCCAAGGGTTGCCTTAGGGGACAGAGTGATAGGACATTTATTTTGTACCTAGGCCAATGAGTTATCTGAACTCTTCTAGATTGCTCGGGGACATTAGACAGCATCAGGGGCTTGCAACTCTGGCAAAACCTGCCAGGGAGCCTCCTTGGCTTGCTTGAGTTAACATGGGATCAAACCTCCCTCCCACTCTTAGCCATCCCAGAGCCTCAGGCACTCTGCTGGGGGCCTTTGAAGGTAAGAAGAGTGGACTGGCAAGAAGGGAGGTTTGAGAGCAAAGGGGACCTCACACCCTTCTTTCTCATTGTCCTTTCTTGGTAGGAAGCAGAGTCTAAAAGACGTTGTAGAGAAAGCCATGCTAACTAAGGAAAAAGTGAAGGAGAAGCTCCGGCTCTTGGGAACCCCTGGCTCCTGGGGTCACATCACTGAGCAGAGTGGGACCCATGGCTATCTTGGACTCAACTGTAAGGGTATAGGGAGTGGGTGTCCCCCCTTTCTGAACTTTGGCCTGTATTTGAGCATTAAACTTCCCTGTCTAGGTGACCAGTTCCTAGCTTCACTCCAGATTTTGATTCTGTCCTCTGGAAAATGGGCTGCTTTAAAGACGCTTCTGGATCCTCAGAAGTACTGACACTCCCTGTCCTTCATAAACCAGCCTGGGTGCTGGGCGAGGTGGCTCACACCTGTAATCCCAGCACTTTGGGAGGCTGAGGCAGGTGGATCACCTGAGGTCAGGAGTTCGAGATCAGCCTGGCCAACATGGTGGAACCCCATCTCTACTAAAAAAAAAAAAAACTACAAAAATTAGGAGAGCGTGCTGGCACATCCTGTAATCTCAGCTACTTGGGAGGCTGAGGCAGGGGAATCACTTGAACCTGGGAGGTGGAGGTTGCAGTGAGCCGAGATCACACCATTGCACTCCAGCCTGGGCAACAAGATGCAGTTTTGAAACTGCATCTTGGCCGGGCGCGGTGGCTCAAGCCTGTAATCCCAGCACTTTGGGAGGCCGAGGCGGGTGGATCACGAGGTCAAGAGATCGAGACCATCCTGGTCAAAATGGTGAAACCCTGTCTCTACTAAAAATACAAAAAATTAGCTGGGCATGGTGGCGTGTGCCTGTAATCCCAGCTACTCAGGAGGCTGAGGCAGGAGAATTGCCTGAACCCAGGAGGCGGAGGTTGCGGTGAGCCGAGATCGCGCCATTGCACTCCAGCCTGGGTAACATGAGTGAAACTCCGTCTCAAAAAAAAAAAAAAAAAAGAAACTGCATCTCAAAAATAATAAATAAATAAATAAATAAATAAATAAAATAAACCAGCCTGGGCTAGAGGGGAATTTGAGATGGCCAGTGTCAGGATCTGAGACCTTGCCATGACTGCAGTCCAGCAGGTGGAATACCTGGTCAGGAAGAAGCACATCTACATCCCCAGGAACGGTCAGATTAACTTCAGCTGTGTCAATGCCAACAACATACATTACATCACTGAGAGCATCAATGAGGCTGTCCTCTTCACAGAAAGCTCAGAGAAGTGCCTTCCAAAGGAAACAAACCCCTGATTGGAATAAAACTTTAGTCTTTGCAAAAATCTTGTGCTGATTATTTATTGCTACATTTCATTTTTTTACAAAACACTTTGTTCGTTTATTTATGAAGCAATGGTGTGGCCTCGGGGTGGGGGGAGAGAGAGAGAGACACACACACACACACACACAGAGAGAGAGAGAGAGAGGGAGAGAGAAAGGCCCAGAAGGAAGGGTCATTGGCCATCTCATATTAATTGAGCACCTACTACATTAAGGCCCTGAGCTGGCTATGAAAGGGAGTGCAAAAAGCAGGTACGATCCAGTCTGTTTTCTCAGACACTTAGAGTCTAGTTGGGGGACAAGCCTTACTCACATAAAACACTTAAGCAACATTTTAAGGCTGAATGTAATAGAAGTCACAGCAGATTGTATAAACTGAAAATGTGTCAGGAATTTAGAAAAGAAAGACTTCAATGTGGGCCAGAATAGATGGGGAGCATCTCATGAGGAGGTAGGACTTGGCTGGGATATTGATAGATGGATGAATGGATTGGATGCATAACAACTAATGGAAGCTGGAAGGATATCCTAGGTCAATAACAACTTGAGCAAGCGTCACTGACATGATAATAAAAAATAAATGTTTATGGGCATCTACTAATCCATGGGACTCTGCAACCCCCCAGGATACCAACAGGTATATGACACAGTTGATACCTTCTACTCTTGGGAAGACACTATTTATACAGTTGAAAGGAAAACTTATTTTTCTCTCTCCTCCACTGTGATTCTCAATTCTGACACCACATTGTGTAGGGTTTTCCCCATACAATTAATTCAATTCTCTGGTGGACAACAGTTGGGTGTCTTACAATTCAATAGATAGAACTGATTCTGTTTTTTTTTTTTTTCTTGAGATGGAGTCTTGCTCTGTTGCCCAGGTTGGAGTGCAGTGGCACAACCTTGGCTCACTGCAAACATGGCCTACCAGGTTCAAGTGATTCTCCTGCTTCAGCCTCCCAAGTAGCTGGGACTACAGGCACATGTCACCATGCCCGGTTAATTTTTGGATTTTTAGTAGAGACGGGGTTTTGCCATGTTGGCCAGGTTGGTCTCGAACTTCTGATCTCAAGTAATCCACCTGCCTTGTCCTCCCAAAATGCTGGGATTGCAGGTGTCAGCCACTGTGCCCAGCCCAATTCAGTAGATTCTGATACTATCTACCTGGAGTTAGCATCAAATTCCAGAGATTCAGGAATTTCTGCAAGACTGCACCCCACTTCAGATGCCAGTCACATGTCCAGTGGTGACCTGGGCATCTGCTGTAAATTGGGGGTTTCTACAACTCCCCCCTTGGGTTTGATAATTTTCTAGAACAATTCACATATCTCAGGAAAATAGTTTACTTACTAGATTATCAGTTTGTTATAAAAGGATACAACTCAAGAACAGTCAGATGGAAGACATGCACAGGGAAAAGGGTGAGGAAAGGGGCATGGAGCTTTCATGGTCTCTCTGGGTTCCCCCTCCCAGCCCCTCCGTGTGTTCACTAACCTGCAAGCTCTCCAAAACCCTATAGTTAGGGGTTTTGATGAAAGATGCATCGTGTAGGCATGATTAACTAAAACTTTGGCCATTGTTGATTAACTCAACCTCCATTCAGTCTCTCTTCTCTTCCCAGAGTTCAGGAGTGGAGCTAAAAGGTCCAACCCTCCGATCACATTGTTGGCCCCTCCCACAACCAGCCTGTCATCCTATGGGCTTTCCAACAGTGACCTTAACATAAACTCAGCTGTGGTTGAAGAGGTCTCCTTGGGAATAACAAAGAGTGCTCCTTTCACTATACATCTCTTATGGCTTTGGAAATTCCAAGGTTTTTATTTTTTTTTGTTTTTTTTTTTTGCTTTTTTTTTTTTTTTAATGGAGATTTGCTCTTGTTGCCCAAGAATGCAGTGCAGTGGTGAGATCTTGGCTCAGTGCAACCGCCACCTCCTGGGTTCAAGTGATTCTCCTGCTTCAGTCTCCCAAGTAGCTGGGATTACAGGCATGTACCACCATGCCCGGCTAATT